GTTGTGTCGTAGGGAGGGAGGGAGATTGGGGAGGGGGGAAAAGAAAAACGTGCAGAGGAAGATATGAAGGGAAAAGAAGAGAAGAGAGGTCTTTTCCCCTTCTACCATCGTTTTTGATTATTGCTATTTTTTGTTGGAATACCCAGCGGGAGCTCTGCGTAGGAGAGAGGTGCTTGCACCAGAGAGCTAGTATAAACAAAATGCATTTCTTGTAAATCACTTTCGTATAGAATTAAAAATGAAACTCTTGTCCAAAGTTAAGCTTTATCACCAAAGTCGTCTACGCAGCCGTTGTTTGTCTCGTGGCCAGGGAGACTAACTTCAATCTGACGTTTAGACAGTTTGCCGTTAACGTGAATCTAAATCTGTAACTGTGGTTCGAATTTGTTCAGAAAGACTCAGTGGTCAGGGATTGTCTAAAGGGGAAAATAAATAAAATAAGGGGCTTAGCTCACATATAATAACCCCTGAATCGTGAGCTATGATCAATTTTAACAAGGTTTTAAAGTTGAAATTTTAAAACGCAAAGAGCTGGGTGTCAATCTCGTTCCCCGGGCTGCGATTGTTGTGGTCGGCATTGTTTTACTGGACAAGGTTATCGAGGGCTCTGGATATGAGATTGGCTTGGAGTGCGTAGTCGTTCGTATGCGCAAGCTCCAATCACGTCCTCAGTCCTCGTGCAACCTCGCTTCTTTGAGTCGACAAAGTAATCTACTTTATTGATCTTTATTTGGATTTGTGGACTTACAATAATTTTATTCTCATTAAACAGAACACTTGAATTAACATTTCCCAAAATTAACATTTTAATTTAAGAAATCTGGCTACGTTTTGACTTAACTTTGTTTTATAGTTTGCGGCATGCGAGAAAGCTAAAGAATGAGTACCACACGCAGGAACGCGTGTAGAATGCTTCGCGCGGTCTCCTGATACAACTGGCTAGAAAGAGAGAATTGAAAGGGCAAAAAATGTCATATCTTATTAAGAAAGCCTGTCTCCTCGAATCCTGAGAGCAAGCTGTAAATCTCGAGCCATGATCGTAACCCTTTTTGCGTGAATAGCGCATAAATTCACATCATCAAACAAGCCGACTGCATACGACTCTGCCGCCTCTTGTAAAGCGAGCAGTGCCAGTGGTTGAAATCTCAAGCCAGGAGCGAAATTTTGAGCAATTTCACGAACAAGCCGTTGGAATGCCAACTTCCCAATTAGCAGTGCAGTGTTCCTCTGGTACCTGCGAATTTCTTTCAAAGCCAGGGAACCAGGGAGGTATCGTCTTATTTTCTTGATAGGGCGAGAAGTCGGGGGAAGAGCAGTTATTTTCACCGGAGAAATAGGAAGAACCAGGTCATCTTCAGTTCCTTTAGTGTATGTTTTAATTCTGGATGGTATGGAAGACTTGTAGACAAATCTGTGGTTTATTCCCAATGGCTTGCGCCTCTCGGTAGTCTGCTTAATCCTAACCATTTCTTTTCGGCTATTTGGTGAAACAAATATTGACAAACAAGTGACAAACTATTAACGAGCTACTTCTACCACTTCTCTTACCTCATACTGTTTAGCCTGCGTAGCTAGCGTTTCCAATCGAGTTACTGCGCGAAAGTTAGACGAACCTCGCGAGGAAACGCTTGCTACCCAGGCTATCTACTGTTCTTATTTTTAGTTTATCATTATAGGTCTATAACCTCTTGCGTAAATTTAAATTCAAATCTTAAGAGCCGTTATAGTATTCTCTTTTAGTGTAGCTCTGACTCTGAGGAAGGCTAATTTTGTTAGCCGAAATATTGGCCTCAAATAAATCAGCCCTAAGCCGTATTGCCATTTACAAAATGACGAGAAGTACCGTGGCACTACAATTTTTACCATGACTATAGATAAAAGAATTGATGATACAGTTTCTGGACCTTTCTTCAACGTGGGTGTGCTGTGGCTTCCACACGAACAGGACCGATCAAGTGCAGTCAATCCCTAAGACTGGGGAAGCCGAAGGTTATAATTAAGCCTTAAGGTTTCTCTTTCTGCGCTAAGCTACGTATTTTAAAAGGCATAGCCTTACTTCCTTAGAATTATTGAAAGAAGAAATCAGAAGAAAAACTTAATTTTTAAAGCGCAACTGTATCAAAAACTCTTGAAAGCCGAAGGGTTCAGAGGACTTGGAAGGGAAATGTCTACAGAAATAAATGAAAAATACGTAAATCGATTGCGACGTTTGTCTAGATAAAACAAAGTACCTTTAACTGTAGTTACTGCAGAAATTATCGTCAGCTTTTCTCTAGAATGTAAGACAACTTTTTCAAAACTCGATCGCAACTTTGAAAAGGTCGCAGTCACAAGCAAAACGCCGGCAACCCGCGACAGATCTTTGAAATGGCGGGAAACGGTAATAACTTCCGGTCACGTGAATTTTTCACTTCCCCTTATGCAAGTGTAACGTAACGCACCGAACGACAAAAAGATGCAAATTTACGCAAAAATGGAGAGCGGTTTTGTAGTGTCTTTTAGCCTGTTATCTTTCCTAGTGATTATCTCATTGGCGGCAGATGTAACGCTTGAAAATGTAGACGATCACTCACCATTTTCAGAGGAAAATGAAAATGTGGCCCACGAAGACGGCAACAAAGTGTTTTCCAAGGAAGAGTTGGCAAAATACAACGGTGAAGATGTAAGAATGTAGTTGCTTGTAGCAGAATAAGAACTCAAGAAATGAAGATATTTTTATTTTCCTCATTTTAGGTTAAAGTGGAGCCATCTAATAGAGGGCAGATACGATCCATCATATCATAAAAAAAGATGTCATGACAGCGCAGTTTTTGATAATAGTAAAACTCTGCGGCAAGATTTCCGCTTTCAGTGGTTACACAAAAATTGTTTATCTTTGTTTTCTGTTTCAGCCTTCTCTGCCAATTTACGTTTCAATCAAAGGAATTGTGTTCGATGTTTCGGACTCCAGAGGTAAGATCATATTTTTCAAGTCTCGATTTGTGGATTTATAATTTCTAAATCAGATATTGGCCATCTTTTAATAATACAAGTCAGTATCAGAGTAAATAAAAAAGTCAATGTAAATATGGAATTTTCCCTTATGTTGTAGAAGTGTATGGACCTGAAGGGAAATATAATTTGTTTTCTGGTAAAGACGCGTCAAGAGCACTCGCAAAGTGGTCGATGTCAAAGGAAGATCTGACTGACGATTTGGTGAGAAAAGTTTGCGTGACAACTTGCGTCATAGTGTAGAATAAATACCTTGAAATTAACGTTAAATTACCACCGGTAGCAGAGTGGCGCAGTGGAAGCGTGCTGGGCCCATAACCCAGAGGTCCGAGGATCAAAACCTCGCTCTGCTAATCCTTTTTTTTCCATGCATTTTTTTTTCTTCCAGATTCTTTTTTCGCTTGCTTGTAAATATAAATTCACTTTTGCTTTATTTTTAAGGATGATTTATCGGACGAGGAACTGACGCGTTTGGATGGTATTTACAACAAGCTTTACGTGGCAAAATATCCTAAAGTTGGATACCTTGAAGGACATGAACCCCATGACGAGGATAACCTAACAGCGAAAAAGAACGTGTACATCGAACTGTGAAAACTTGCACATATCTAAAATATTGAACGACAAACTTTGGAACACTTCAATAATCCTTATTTGTAAAAAAGCAACAACAACTTAATGTCTTAGCACCCACGCCAGCTTCTCCTCGTTTTGACCAAAGGAAAAGTTTGTTTTAAATACCTTAATAATAGCACAAAAAAGCACTAAAATCTTCTGCTCAAGAAGAAATACCGTGCACACCTACAAGCTAGACGTATAAAAAACATCTGAAGTTAACTTTTTCATGTCATGTTTAGGATAGAATCCAAAACACTCAGGGCAGAGGAAAAGGGTCATTATCACCTACCCCAGCCCCACCCAACAAATTTTATGAGTTGAAAAAATTTGTTGAAGATTCTAGGGATGCACCTGTTTTTCAGATAAGTTATACAGTCAAACCCTGTTATAAATACGGACACTGAGGGAGGCAGAAAAAAGTGTTTGTATTAACAAGGTATCTGTATTAAGCGGGTGTCTGTTTATATAAAGCGTTGTTTGACTGTATATTTTTTATGTACCAGATTTAAAAAGATCATCTTTTTAAGGGTAGGGAAAAATTTTTGAGGTGTTATGCCTTCTTGGCATGAATTTTCTAGAGCCATTTTCCCTTTGACTTGCAGCAGTAAATTTTTTTTAAAATTAATAATGTAGACCAAGTATAGGATAGATCGGAGAGGAAGACCTCCTTTTGCACAGCACAAGTTTGATGCCCTGCCTCGGTTTAAGATCTTCTGAATTCTAGTCTTCAGTGGCACATTCCTCCAGCATACGTTTTTTACTGTAAATATCCCACCAGTAAAAAATAAAAAAAAGAGCTCAACTAAACTTTGTTATCTGAAAACATTTTATTATCAGCAAAGCTTGGAGCCTCTAACCCTATAATAAGGCTGCCGGTCAATTGCCATGGATTCCTCTTTTGTGCTTAAAAATCTCTCAGCTATTCAGAACAGAGGAGAATTTCTATCAAGTGAACAGCAATGGCAGATGGAAGTGTCAAGTGAAAGTAGTTTAGGCTATTCATCAAATAGTTTTTCAACTACCGCCTTGATCATGTTCAGAGTCACCAGATCAAAAGGAAGAATAGTTCCAGTCGAAAACAGCAAATATTTGCAAGAAAAGATCTCATTGGGAGGCTTGCCTCCCTTAGATCTACTGCTAACTTTCACACTCCAAATAGTTCTCTCATACATCAGTAATGTAACTATGAGATTGCAGATGGCCATTGAAAGTCTTTATAAACAGACTCTCTGTTAATAAGTCAAAGGCAAAAGAGTTTGGAGATGAAGAAAATAAAGGAGGGAGGGGATGCAGGTAACCTCCTTGACCCTTCCCACCCCTCAAGCTTTTCTTTTTCCTCTCTTATCCCTAGAGACTGGGTGATGCAGATGAAGGCAGGGTGGGAGCAGGTAGTCCTCTTGCCCCTTCTTACCCCCTGTGCCCAAAGCTCTTTTTTTTTTTGCTCTTATCCTGCTTATCTCTAGGTACTAAGAGGGCTATAAACAGACTATACAATAGCAGGCATAAGGACCACCACAGTATTTCAAGTTGAATTGTAGGATCTGAAGAATCATGTGATATTTCCATGCTGCTGCATTGTCTAATTTTAAATTTAATTAAGGTTCTGCTTCACTGTTTATAGGCATGAAACAAGAAGACTTGATTTATTTTTCTACTCAATAATTTAACAATCATTATAATTAATTATTCAAGCATGGCTTGCTAGCACATTGAAAAAATGGTACACTTCATCGGTGTCATAAACGGCAACTTCTGAGCTACATTCTGTGCAAGTGACAGGATGATAACGATCCGTCGACGCTGCACCAGTAATTGTAGTCAAATTGCTATCATTGTCCATTTCATGTACTAGTTTTCCTTTCTGTCCCTTTTTTCTCTTTTTTCCTGAGTTACGTTTCTGGGGAGGCTCATATCGTAAAACTTCATCCTCTACAACTTTACAGTTCATAACAAACATTGCTCTGTACTGGTTTTTGTATATCTCATGCCTGCAATAAAAAGGGGGCAAACAAATCAACTAACATAAAAATAAAAACATAATGATAATAATAATAATAGAGAATCCGTGCTAAGAGAAAACTTATGAGTTGCACAACTCTTATTGATAGCCATTGCTATTAGTGTCCTTATGAATAACAGTTCACTTTTATCATATCATACCTATAGAATAAGCGGAAATGACAAACAAAGCCAGTTGAATATATACTTATGCATTCAATCCTGGGTTATTAGACAACAATACAAACGCCCAGCTTTAAATAAGTGTCCCTTTCAAATTAAAACTTGGGGCCCCTCTTTAGGCTAAAAATTGTATTCCCTTGTTATTAGAAACTTCAACCCCACCACACCTTACTAATTAATATAGACGTCCTGTTGGGGGGGGGAGGGGGTGGGGGGGTACATATGTCCCTAGTCTGAATTTCAAATACAGTGGTACCCCGGCTTACAGCCACCTCAGTAATACAGTCTCCTCATTATTACCACCACTTTTTTTAGCCGACCGGCAAAACGACCATACATTTTCTTGTAAAAAAACCCTTGTTAATACAGTCACCTCATTATTACCGCCAAATTTTTTTGGCCCATTGATGACCATATTAAATGAAAGTTAGAGAATTTACTCTGGAGTAAATTTTTGCAGGAAAAATGTTTGCGGTAATTTTTATTTGTGGGAACTTATTTTTCCGGATCGCGGAAAAATCGCAAAAATTAGAACCTGCAAAAATTTCGCGCCACACAGTAAAATATGTCAAAAGGCTTGTCTTAGTTGCCCTGTTTAATGTTATACTTTTGTTCACTTAATACAAAGACACTAACACAATGAGGCTAAAATTCTAAAGAACTAGACAAGTGCCCTCAAAATGAGCATATACCTTGGCAGAAGTGCCTCCTTTCAACTCAGGAAATTAAATAGGCACCCAGGGTACTAATTTGAGCATTTACATGTAAGGAAGTCAAAGAGGCCCTCTTAGAGGGGGAGGGGGGGAGGGTACATATGTCCCTAGTCTGAATTCCAAATATGGTCTATGCATTTTGAGGAGTTTAAAAAGCCATGTCCCTGTCAGAATTTAACCTTTTTGTTGTTTGCCACCACTTTTATCTAGTCTTATATTGCTGTTTCAAGGTCACGTCACTTGACAGAATTTTATCCTCACTCATCAAAGGCCAGAATCATTTGTTCAGAACTAACCTCTGGCAATCAATACACAGTGTTGTCATGCAGGCTGGACAAGATAATATAGCATCACTAGATGGGACTTTCTCCACTTCCTGTTTTGATGTTCTGGCTTTCTTTTTATTTGCCGGACTTGTCCCTTGATTTTCATGGGTACTTGCACTGTTTTTTGTTTGCTCACACACTGTAAAAAAATTATCAATGAATTAATGTGAATATATATTAATAATTTCTCATATCACCTGGTGATGCCAATTCCTCTCATAATTCACATTGAATTTTTCTTTGTAATACTCCATGGAGAGCAGCTTGACAGCCTGGTTTTGAAGGCCTTCAGTGAGTAGGCAAATCTTTCTAATTTAAATGTGAATACATATTAATAATGTCTCATATCACCTAGTGATACCAATTCCTCTCATAATTAACATAGAATTTTTCTTTGTAATTCTCCATTGAAAGTGGCTTGACAGCCTGGTTTTGAAGGCCTTCAGTGAGTAGGCATATCTTTCTAATTTCCAATTGGGAAAACAGAGGAAATTTCTGGTCCAGGTTGATGAAGATGTTACAGGTCAAAATTAAATTCAGGTTAAATTTTTTAACCCGGTTTGATTCTCAATTTCCTGTCTCCTTGCCCTAATTCAATTATGCAAGGAGACAAAGAAAATTGAGAATCAACCGAGGCTAAAAAATTTAACCTGAATTTAATTTTGACCTGTAAGATAGACACGTTGAGAAGTTACAAGCAGATATATCCTATGTACATCATCCTTGACCATCGAAAAATTTATTTTGACAATCCGAAATGGCTTCAAATAGTTTGTTGGTGCCACTGTCTTCTGCTTGGTAGAACAGTAGAGTGAATGTTGCGATGTCATAAAGTTTTCTTTGCTGGTTTTGCTGTCAATATCCAGTTTAGTCACAAATTGATGGAGCAATCTGGAAGAAACTTAATAATCCCCAGCTGTCTGGAATTTTTGCAATAAAACAAAAAACATGTATACAGAAATAATACTTGAACATCATCAAATAATTTGAAGTGTTAACTATCACATTATTTGACTCAAACTCAGTTTTCCACAGTCAAGTTGACTGACAGATAATTATTATAAATAACAAAATTTCTACCAGTTGTTATACCCCCCCCTTAAACAGCATAAGAGAGGCTTTTACATGGAGTAATAACAAAATAATCAGGACAACTAAAGGTTACAAGTGCGAAATAAAGAGGGTTAGGAGCAACAGGTTGTCACGTCAAACCTTTTTGTCTGTGGTCACGTCTCTGTTTTATAACCCACTTTTCATCCTCATCATCCATGTCTGGGTCATACAAAAGTTCATCATTTGTTAACATTTTCCTCCGTTCTTTAGACTTTGATCCTTGCCCACCAACTAAATGCTCATCATCTGAGCCTGAGCTAAAGTAATCTTCTGAATAGACATAATTTGTTTCTTCAGTTGTTCCATTGCCGTCAGCTTTTGCACTGGAGTCATTTTGAGGATTTTCAGTGTGCAGGATGGTCTTCTGTTCTGCATTATCACCTAAAATATTTATTCAAATTTAAATGTCCTTGTTAAGTATCATACAGACATTTCCCATGATTTGTCTCCAGTAGTAAAGCAGACACAATGAGCAAAGGTTATGGCTTAATGGATGGACAAATTTTTCATAAAAAAAAACCCACAATTTTTTGTTAACTAAAGCCTTGGGTTAGTTCCTTTATTTACAGGAATATGGAACCTCTTTACCCGGTTTATAAATCTTCGTAAAAAATTAAGGAGTTAACATTTTAGAAGAGCTTATAAAGGAGGGGTTTTATATCCAGGGGGGGGGGGGTTAACTGGAATCAGTAAAAGCACTTGGAAACAAGCTGTAGCAGTGTAGCAGAACTCCCTTACTGGGGGGGCATTTTAGAAACAGCTTATCATTAGCAATTAGGCTTCGTGAAAAAGGAAGCTGGGGATCAAACTAGGGCTAAACCATTGAAACCTGAATAAAATTTTGACCTATGACAAAAATAAGAAATGATTTTAAAAACTTCTCATCAGTATCACAAAAAAACCATATGGAGAGCAGCCAGCAAGAAATGCTTTTATTATTTGATTGCAGTTAATAGCTTAAATTAAAGATCAGTTAGCCTCAAGACCAGTCTCAAAGGAATGAGGTGTTACTTTTAAAACTAAAATTAAAAAAAACTTGTGCATTAACAAAAATCACTAAGAAATTTTCAAATATTACTTTTAGATAAAATAACATCCTAGCCAAAGTGGAGCCAAACTGGCAAGTACTGTATCTTTTCAAAAGACAGACTCAAGTTTTGAGTGAATTCAACTGGGCAGATGTCCAGTTACAATTCCCAGGAAACTAATCTTCCTTGAAAATATGTTTAAATTAGTTCTTCATACCATCGTTAGAGATGTTTACACTATCACAATAATATTATATTTTAGTTCTTAGCTCCAAATTTACAGTTTACTTTTTCCTGAATAGCAATTGGTTGTCTTATGCTTGTATCTCTTTCTAGTGATAATTTGCTCCACATTTCTTGTAAAAAAATCATACTAATTTTAAAGGCAGTTAATTTTTAATTTACATATTTTAAATACATGACTTGATTGTACTCCTTATTCCCAAGTGTTGGCTAATTTTAATTATTTAAAAAAATGTTTTGTGTTCCTTATAATAAGAAACAATATTTTTTCTACTATTTCTTATTATTGAAGAGAGAGTCAACTGGAAGCCAGACTTAATCATAAGGGTCTTCTGACCTAATATACAATAATATTATGATGTAGACCAACAACTATACTGGAACATTACAATAAATTACATTAAACTCAGAAAACCATGAGCACCTAAATTGATGACCAATTACAAGACCGAGTTAACGACTTACGAGCAAACCTCAAAACCACAAACTAATAACTGTTGCATTGCTGTTTGCAGTTTAGTTTGCTCACACCCTTTTGGCTTTTTCCTCACAACACAATAACTTTCCTGGCATTTCTGGTGTTCACAGTTTAGTGAGTTTCATAGTAAAAGAATCAGGAAATCTGATATCAGAGATCTGATATAAAAAGATAAAATATCGTCGTATACTTGGCAAATTTTTCTGACGTTCGGTTCTGAATGTCTGTTTCTAAGTGTAGAAAAAAATGTGTACCATGTGCATCCCAACCAGAATTTCCTGGTAAATGGAAGCCACAGCCAAAGACACGTCCTCTATTAAAACTTACCATGTTTATCCTCATAGGCCTTCATCACATTTTCCATCTCCATCTCCATTTCTTTTTCAAACTCATCTTCACTGCTAGAGGGTGACTGTTGTTTTTGATGTTTTAATAAATCTTCCACTCCAAGTTCATCCTCAGAACTTAAAGATTATAGTCCAAAAGAGAATGAAAATAAGGGAAGTTTAAAATCAACAACCAAGGATCACAAGGTTTAGTAAAACATCAACACAATCAAAAATTACATTAAGGCAGGGTTCATAATCGCGATTTTTTGTTTCAGGGCGGGGCATGGGTTTTTCAGGTTAGATTTTAGTATAGGGGGGCTATCAAACATTTCTGCCAGTGTAACTGAAGGTACAATTATACATGTATAAGGGGGGCCATCCAGAAAGTTTCAATCAACACCGCCGAGTGCTGTGTTCCTCTCTCCTCTACATCTGCGTCACTAGGAGGCTGGGGGGAGGGGGAAAGGGAGCACGCAGGGGGCGATAAGAGGCAAAGAGGGAAGGAGGACCACCCTTTCTGCTCGCACATGACACTGTTGGGCAAATGGAAAGCACTCACAAAATGTGTCAACTCTGCATTTTCCACCCGTGGGCCAAAGAAAAGAGATGTCAGTAACAGCTGCCTAAGTTATAAACATCCTTATCATTCCTATCCCCCTACACAACTTGGAAATTGACGCCTCAGTACGCGTGGTTTTGATTTTACGTCAATACAACGTAGATTGAACATTCTTTCTGCATGCTTTCGCAATAAAATGGGTTTATAAAAGGTTAACCGGCATATAAGCATGCTACAGAACGCGACCAACCAAAGTAAATGATGGATAAATCCACAGGTATGTGTGTATCGACGTTGTTAGATGGCCGTCTGTGAAATTTCAGGAAACAAGAAATCACTCAAGTGTTTGTGTCAAACAAATTTTCAACCGGGCGGCGGTAATATAATTTCGCGTATTAGTCGCAAAAGCTGTGATTAACTGAAGTACCTCTCGTTTTGGTCATCGTCTGAGCTGCTGAATCCTCCAATGTTGTAAGGGTCTTCGACCTCCATCATAATTTCTTTCGAATATTCATACCTTCTTCCCCCGTTTCGTCTCGTCTGGTGACGAATTTTCTCAGCGGAGACTGGCACGGGTGACTCGTTGATCGACAAATTTTTTCTCCTTACATACTTCAATAGAAGCAGTTTTTATCAAGTATTGAGAATTTGATATAGATCAGTTCAGTGAATTTGAGCAGAGGCAAAGCAATTGTTGGGAGGAGTGAAGATGGCGTCTAATAGTACGGCGAAGACCACGTGCATTAGCTGCGAAGATTTCTTTACTTTACATCGAGCTCAATTTCTTTCCATCGGCTTACCCGAGCAATTATGGGAAAGGCTTTACAAAAAGCTAACTCCTATTGCAAGCTGTGACACAGCAGAGGTTTTTGAGGTTCGCGAAGGAGGACAATTTGGTTCCCCGGGTCGTTGGTCTCTTCACGCTAAACGAGCTTTGCAGAAATTCAGCGACGTGTTTCTTATTGAGCACGCCTGGTCGAGTGATGGAGGCTCGACAGCAAAGAAGAATTTGGAAAAATCGCCAGAACTTTTGGCGAGGATGAAGGAAATTATGCAACGCCCTGAAAACAGCGCTAGCGAAATTGCCTCGAGCGACGAATCTCTGCTAGACAGCTCCCTGGTTCTTTCACAAATTACCGGAATAGACAAGAAGAAAGCTGAAGAAGCTCTTCAAGCGAGTGGCAGTGATCTAATCGAGGCCTTGTGTCAAATCACGGACGATTCTTATGAAAGTAAAAAGCCATCGAAATCAGACAGGTCAAAAATTATGGCCTTCGAGGAATTCAAGACGGGCTTCCTTCACTCGGTTGGAATGGAAAAAGCAAAGCTTCTCTCTAAGGAATACGTGGAGAAAATGTACTTAAGGTACAAACGAGAGAAGGAGCAATACCCAGACTCTTTGTGCTTTGGAAAAGGAACAACCGCGCAGTATAGTTGGCTTGAAGAAGACGAGGGCTCGATGGCTGTTTTTGTTTCGATTCCAGTAACGACCAAAAAGCGAGATGTTGTAAACAAATTGACAACGAAACGATGGACTTTGGGCTTGAAAGGTTTTCCGCCTATTATTGATGGAGAGTTTTACGGAAATGTTTGCCCCGACGAATCGTTTTGGACGTTTGATTCTCCCGGTTTGTTGGTTATGACTTTGCAGAAACCGGAGAATGAAGAAGCTGAGTTATGGCCAGTAAGTTTTAAATTTATCTTACAATTTTTAGCGCCAAGCGCCTAGCAAAGCGTGACACGGCTTATTCATTTCAAGAGGTGCATATTTTTCGCATTTTTCTATCGCGGCGTCAAATCGCGATCTCAACAGCTTGCTACAAGGTATTTATGAACTAATTATATTTAACTTCTGAACAGCGACAAGTTTGATGAAGCTCACTTTAGTTATTGAAGCCAATATTATCCTAAACAGAAAATTTGATGTTTTTTCTTGAGTGGCTTTGCCATCAACTTTCAAGTGGTTAAAAACTGATTCCTTAATCATTTCTGATATTCGTATGTCCTTGTTACATTGTGTACAAATTTACAGGCCTCAAGCATATTGCTTTACGTGATGTCGTTTTGTATTTCTGCAATCAGTTCTCTTGTCTTCATTTTGTTTTCTCAGATAAGAATTTTGAAATACCAGAGAATTTTTTCTCACTAAGAAATTTTTGCCATCTTGCATAGTTAGTATTTCGTTTCGTTTTTCTTTGATCGCAAAACAAACACTTTAAAACACAGCTAAATAAATATTCCCTTCTCAAGGGAGTGGGTCTTGGTGTTACAAAACCACACCTGATGGCTATGTGAGAAATAAATGTTGCATATAGGGGTAAAATAGCCTTTGATAACACACAGTAACACCCTACTGAAAATATCCGTAAAAAACGTTATGGGGAAATAAATCACATATTTGACTTCCCATGGTGACTGATGAATCACGCTGAAGGATTCATCTCGACATGTTGTCTTACAGTATCTCCTCATGTTTAGGTCTCAGTTGAAAGCCTCAATGGCAAATGAATAAATTTTCTTTGTAACAAAAGCTGGAATGCGTGAATTGCCTGGAGACAATCCGTGTGTTGAAATGACATATGGATGACAATCATCAGCTTGCATTTTTTGCATTCAGGGTAAAATGAACAGGTTTTTTGCATTGTTGTGAGTCATTTTATTGATAGGTAGCAGCAGAGTTTCACAAAAAGCTGACAAATTAGATTTTTATAACACGCTTTGCACTCCTGTTGTCTTTGTCAAAAGGGTCTTGCATTAATGTTAAATCCGTAAGTGCAACCACTTAAGTCAAAGCTGCTTAGCTGTACTTTATTGCTCATGTGCTTTTAAAATTGACCTCTGGAAAAAACTGTAGATTTCTATCTTTTGAGAGAGATAAAGCTCGGCTTTTTATATGCAGCATATACATGTACCTCCAAAGTCAAGTTTTCTTTTATTTAAGATGGTTAAAAATGATGATGTTGAATGGATTCTGATATATATCCCCCAAAAAATTTTTTTAAAGAGAGCATTGATAATATTATTGTTATTCTTATTTCTTAAATGTGTACATGTACAACATTGATTAGATGCTGGTAAAATAAATTTCTCTGTTTCATTAAAAGCAATTTTGTAAGGGATTCATTTTTGCTGAATTCCAAAAGGTGACCTTGGGTCAACACTCTGATATGTCATTGGTTTTTTAGGTGCTTATAGACAGGAAAATATTTTTACTGATTTAAGACTAGCTAGATATTTCAAATCTGTTGTGACTGCAAATTGTACTCTATGAATAAATGGCACCTAATTTTGGCAAAGTTTGTGTTTGCCTAAAGAAAAACAAACTCCCTTGCTCACGGAGGGAGACATTGCAGCCTTATTAGTAAAAATGCATGGCAACTAAAAAACCAAAGAAAAAAAAGAAGGGAAGTCACTGTGATAGTGGATGAAACAAAATGGTACAGACTTCAGTGAATTTGGTTTTTGTACTGACTAATATTATTGTTTACTTGCAAAGTGTCAATAAAAAATGATAATTTTTTTTATTATGTAATAATTGTTCTTCTTGCTTATCAGGTTTTAATTAAAGGCGAGAAACACCTGACAGAAAAGGAAATTTCAGACCAGGCTAGAGACGAGGGTCAGAAAGCAGACTGTGATAGGTATGATGTGTTGGAGAATATGTGGTACTATAACCAGACCTATTCAGCAGTCGGTCCAGATGGAGTCAAGCAAACACCTGTTTGGTATGTGATGGATGAATGCGGATCAGCTATTGTTCACTCCAGTCATCCTAATGTCAAGTGCTCACCATTTGCTTTTGCTGTGACTGGGGTGTTCTATTCTCTCCTTTGGCCTCTAGAAGACATAAATGTTGGCGATGTTTGCACTAGAAATTTTTGTCCTCATTTGAGTATGGCAGAACCACAATTACAAAGAGATGCCCGTCTTTTAGCTTTTAGTTCGTCATTACCTGATGTTAGTCCAAGTCATTTTGTGGTTGATCTGGCAAAATTTCCTTCGTTACCAAGAGAGAACAATATGGTGGTAGATGTCAAGTCGTTATCAACACAGCCTGAAAGTGTCAACTGTTCCCTTTTGAAAGCTAAGAAATTAAACTTAAAGTTCTTTTTGGAAAAGAATGGCCGGGAGAAGAAGCCAGTTTTGAGAGATTTGGGTTGTACTCTTGTAGAGTCTTTAACAGAAGCTGAAGCTCTGTGGTTAGAAAAATGGAATGTTTTTGGGCAAAGAATCCAACATAATGCAAGAATCAACCGACTTGGAGGGGAGGAAAACCTTTTGCATCGCCATCTGTTAGCTGCTCATGTGCAGGAGACTTGGGGAAATGTACCCTGGTTCCCCATGTCATATGACATGTCTATCCATTTATCAGCTTTGTGTGCTGACCATTACTGCAGAGCAATCTCCAGCTACTGGATTTTACGAGCAGCAGATCCAAGTTCCTTCAGTTTACGACCAATTGTCACCAGTGATTTGCGCAGGGTTTTGAGGTGCACAGAGATGGGCCATTTGGTGGCTTCGTACTGTAAGTAGAACAATGCTAGGATAAAACTGTTGGTTCTGAACAAGGACTTAAGTTTATCCCCCTACTTACATACAGTGCATATGATTAGTGAAAGATACTGCTGGCCAGCATTGTTTCATTTTTAACTTCCCCTTAATTACATTTAGGCATTTACCCTTTAGTCTTGAACATGCATGTAGATTTAGTAAAACATTTTAAGGAAAAAGGACAACATTTTTCTATTATTTTTGATCTGGGAGTTCTTCCACCATAATCAGTGTAAAATGTTGCCGTTGGAAGCAAACGTTTTGCTAACATTGTATGTTCAACTATATTTTAGATTGTGCTCGAACAGCAATCAGCAAGAAGAGACGATTCTGTCTACAGTATGCAGTAACAGTGAAATCGCTGGTGCCATTAAAGGTCCTTGTGCAAAATACTGCACACGTCAAGCTGGCAGAGAGGGAGATAAACCAGAATCAATTCTTAGATGAATATGATTCTTCAGCTCTTCTTTCATCCACGTCAGATGTAAAGCATAATGGGGTGGTCAACCACAAGATGACACACAGCGAATTTTTAGCAGACTTCAGTGCAAATTACTTGGTCAAGGGGAAAATGTCATGGGACGATGTTCAGGGAAAGATTTACAAGAGCATTGGTAAGTTGTTTTATGCTGTGGCACCAAGTCTGTGCTCTTTACAAGATGGCAGCCGCACGGCAAGAGATCTTTGTGCCGTGTATGGTGTTGATGTTCTCATAAAAGACAACTTGGAACCACTTATCATTGGAGTGGATCCCACACCAACTTTTGACAGTCCAAAGTGCTTTTCTGATGTCCTTGTCACAGCATTTGGACAGAACGGCGAGTGCTTGGACAGTGCAAACATCACCCAAGTGTCTGTGAGGTAAAATAATCAAAAAGGGACCTTTTGTTGTACAGGAATAAAAGAGTACCGGGTATTTAATCATCTTGATTGAGAGTGTTAAT